GTCACGGCCTGGGCCCTGGGTGGACCACGCACAGGCCCTCACACAGGAGCCACGCACCTGCTGCCCACAGGCTCCGGGATGGTGGGGTCTGCTAGACTGGCGTCTACTAGCTGTGCAGGCAACCAGGCCCTCCTCTTGCACCCTGGACCCTAGCCTGGGTTTCCCTGAGCAGCCATTTCCCTGGAGAGGTGGAGGTGGAGGGTCGGCTGTCTCCAGGCATGGGCTGAAGGTGCAGGTGCCCCACGGTCCGTGGCTGGAGCCATAAGGGCACACAAGGGGCCTCACACAGCCATGCAGGCGCAGCGGCCATACCCAGATCCATTCCAGGGAGCCATGCTGTGCCCCACTGCGCCCCCACACTGTTGGGCTAGCTGTGGAGAGGGCTGTGGGACCCTCCTGCAGCATTTCCTGCAGCCCAACGTGGGTTTCCACCCAAAGGCTCAGGTTTAGAAGCTGCAGGTGGAGGAGCTGCCCCAGGGTGACACTCAGGGACGTCCAGGGAGGAGGCCTCCGGCAGGACTGGGCCGCAGGGCCTGGGTCTGCTGCTCCCCCCACGCAGCCCACTCCTGGGCAGAGTGCTCCCTTGCTCACCCAGCCCTTCCCCGACCTTGGCCCGAGGTCTCTGGGCCTCCTCCTTACCTATACAACTGGAAGTCCTCTTCAGAGAAGATGTTCTGTATTTTATCTCCAAAATACCTGTGAAAAAAAGAGCAAATGTGACATCGACTAGACTTTTCCTGTGTCCTTGGAATTCAGTCTTTCCTCAAACTCAGTGGCCACTCCCTGGAAGAGCCTGGTTGTCCTGCAGCGACTCCCATTCCTGAAGTGATAACTGACATAAGAACTGAAGGGGACAGGAACAGAGCAGGGAAGCCGGCTGTTGGCAGATGGGGGACCCTGGGCGAGGCCCGGTGAGTCTCCTGGGGGCTCTGGCCTCACCTCAGCCCTCAGGCCCTTCTGGGGTGGACCACGCACAGGGACTCACTCAGGCCCCAGCGTCCAGATGGCTCTGATGTCTGCACACACCCCTAACAGGACGGACTCAGACTGCTCTGAGGCTCCTGGACCAGGACCGGACAGACCCCCACTCCCAGGGCACCAAAGCAGCTCTGCCCCTCAGCTTCCTGGGTGGACACACCAGGACCACGCCCAGGCACTCACCACCCTCCCTGCTTCTCACCTGTACAAGTTCACGAAGTGCTTCCCCACAGACAGGGCTCCTGAGTGCAGGTCCAGGATGGACGCCTAGAAGAGAAGCCATGGGGTGGGGGGCCGTGGACACTTCCAAAGCTGCCAGACAAACCCACTCCCCGGGCCACCTCCACGGGCCAACTTCCTAACCCTGCCTCATGACAGTGCCTCCCTGACCAACGCATCACTCCCTGCTGCCTGACACTCTGGGGTCAGCCATGGACACGTTTCCCAGAAACCTCTGTGCCCGCCGGTGTGGTCCCCAAGCCACCGGCTCCTGCCCGGCTCCTCCTCTCCTTCCCTCCTTCCTTCAGCTCTGCAGGGAAAACTGGGCGCGCATTCAACTGGGTACGTGTGAAACATAAGTGCACAGATAAGATCTGACTGCACACTCCATGGGACCCTCAGGACCAGACAGCAGACATGTCCTTCACCCCAAAGTGCCCTGCAGCCCTGGCAGCACCTGCAATCAGTCTGAGGGGAGGCATAGGCTGGGCTCCTGGTCTGTGCTCTTTCTCATCCTGGTACCAGTGGCCTGCCCTGCTGTTGCCATGCCAACAGCCTGCTCCCTCTTGCTGCTGTGGCGTCCACTGCATGGACGTGCCGTCCTCCCCTCAGTGGCCAGGGACTCTGGCCGGGTTGGCACACTGGAGCTCGGCACACACTGGCTTAGGTGCTCACTGCTCCTGGATGAGCACCTCACGGACTTGCTGGACATGCCCCCGCTGCCTACTTCCGAGTCCTTCCCATGCTGGAGTGGCCACCAGTGCTGACCATTCTTACCTCGCCTGTGTGCATCCCTCTTCTCAGGACTACAATGACTGGCCCAGGGTGTAAATGCAACGGGGGCTGAATAAATGCTCGCTGAACCTCCACGCAGCCACCTGACCAACTGGGTGCAAGATGAAGCCCACGGGAGGCCCAGGAAAGAGTAGAGTCCACCCACACACGGAATTTAGTAAATCCCCAACTGGACTAAACTAAGATCTGTAGCAAGAAGAGAGCTACAGATGGCCACGCCATCACAGAAGTACTCTGAAGTTCTAGAAAAGTCTGTCAATTAATCTTCCCAGATGTCTCAGATGTGCCGTGACCATAACTCAACGGTCACCCAACACACAGGAGGCCTGACCCCAGGACAGGGCCACGCTCCGAGCACCAAGCACAGTGCCGAGGGCCAGGAGCTGCCTGTCCATGGGACGTGGCCTCGGGGCTGCAGCTGTAGCTGTGGAACCCTGCTGGGGGCAGGGTCTGCACCTGGGAGGTCGCAGGTGGCGCCTCCTTGGGACACTCGGGAGAAGGTCCTTCCTCATCCTTCCAGCTCTGGGCCATGCAGCCCTTAGCTCAGTCCAGCTTCAGGCCTTTGTCCTCCTTCCCAGCCTCCCTCTGCCTCCCTCTGGGGAGGACACTGTCCTTGGGTTTAGGGCCCACCCTGATAATTCAGGATGACCTCATCTCCAGGTCATTCATTACATCTGCAAAGAGCCTCTTTCCAAACCTGGTCACACACTCAGGCTCCAGGTGACACACCTCTGCCCAGCAGCTGACAGGCCCCGGGGGTCTACAGAGCCTCAGGCTAGAAGGCGGCAGAGTCCCCTGAGCACCCTCTGCTCCACAGCTGTCCTGTCTGCGCTGCCTGACACCAGCCTCGCACACTCCTGACTCTTCCATCCCTCCCTGCCTTTCCCCCTCCCCACCCCACCCCAGGATCTACAAGGCCAGGTGTCCTGAGCCAGCTGTGGCACACCTTGAAAAGGCAGCAGGAGGCCCAGGACACTGTCCCCCACACATGGTGCCTCCAAGCACCCATCAGGAGCAGTACCACGGCAGTGCCAGGGACACTGTGGAGGACCAGCCAGCCCACCCACTGGGGGTCACAGAGGGGGGCCTTCCCCCACCCCAGGGAGAGCAGAGTTGAAGGTAAAGAGAGAAGTGGGCAGGGGCTGCAGCCAACTCACCCCTCCGTCGGATCCTCCCAGGGAGAAGCCCTTCTCGGCTATACTGTGGGGAAAGTGGTTTAAACCAGGATTGAGTGAGTGGAATCCTGTCTGAGGTCCAGGAACAGTGTGATCTGGACCACGTCCCCAGGCTCCGCTGTGACGTATAAAACCCATCAGACCAGAGCCCTCAGCCTCCAGAGCAAGTGCGGACACTGTCAGGCCGATGGAAGTGACTCAGGAACAAAGCACCAAGCAGCCGGGCACCACAGAACCGCCTGTCACTCAGCAGGGTCTCCTGGCCATCCTGGATCTCAGCCAGTTCCCGACCAACTTCACCGGGACCAGGGACTCTAAAAGTCTCTTTTCCTGTCCCACGTCCTTCCCTGGTAAAATGCCAGTCCGGTCAAGCCCCCTCCCGGTTTCTCCTCAGGCCTCTTCCCATCTGCTCCGCCCAGGGTGGGGGATCTCAGTAAAGCCTGGCTCCTTTTGGTGGCCGCGTTGCCTGACCTTACAGACACTACCACCTCGGCACTCAGGACCCAGGGCTTGGCGTGAAGGAGGTCAGAGGGCCTCAGGAGCCTGGGTGGACCCAACTGATCTGCTGCCGGCGGTTGGGCTTGGGTGACCCCAGCTCAGGAGGGGAAGAGGCCAAGACCAGAGAAGACCCCATCAAGAAGCAGCAGCTCTGACAGACATCTCCAGGTCACCAGGGATCTGAGCCCACAGAGCAGGAGAATGCAGAAGAGGTGCCCTCCCTCTGGGGACTCCCAGCAGGACACTGTGTGGGGACAGAGGAGAGGCCTCCAGGGCCGAGGGCCACTCCTCACACTGAGTCTGAACACTGACTGGACCTCAAAGCTCTCTTCCCAGGTCTTCTTTAAAAGCACCACTGCCTCTGAGCAGGCGATCCCGAGAGGGACAGGCGGTCCCCAGAGGGACGGGCGATCCCCAGAGGGACAGGCGATCCCGAGAGGGACGGGCGATCCCGAGAGGGACGGGCGATCCCCAGAGGGACGGGCGATCCCGAGAGGGACGGATGGTCCCCAGAGGGACGGCGATCCCGAGAGGGACGGGCGATCCCCAGAGGGACGG